AGGAGCATTTTATGAAACTCATTGTGAGTCTTGCCTTATTGATTTTAAAGTTTTAAAAATGTTGTTTTTGGAACGAGTAGAATTTTTGCTGTACTTTCTATGGTGCAAAATGTTTTATAGAGACCTACTACATGTAGACTCGCTTTGCAATAGTCAGAATACTGATTTAATTTAATTTAAAACACTAATCAAATTATCTGTTGGCAATTGCTAGATTCTTTCTCGGATGCTGTGGTACTGGGAAGCTCTCAATTGCATTTGCCTCCCTCTCTCTCTCTCTCTATCTCCTTCTCTCTTAATTGAGTAGAAATCACTTCGTTGCTTGTGAGATAATTCCTTTCTCTTTTTTTGTGACGTCGATCATTTGAAAACAGTTCATTCGTTTGCTTCTGGTAAGAACTCCGGAGTAAGTTACTCGCTGCGGGAATCTAATTTCATAAACTCAGTATTAAAAGTGATTGATGTGGCAGCTTCTGGTCCAGGAAGTATAATTATGAATTTAAGTAATTCGGCTGAGAAACTCCGAGCGCATTTAATAAATCAGTGAGATGTAGCCCGAATTTGGAACAACCTTTGTGCACAACAGAAAATTGTGAAGATTTGACAAAAATTTTAAACATAAGAATTAGTTACGAGCAAGACTTACGAAGCCTACTTTCCAGTTGCAAATACGTCCGGTCCTACGGGCCTTACGTTGCCAACCCTTTGAAGCCTAAGAGAGAGAGAGAGAGAGAGAGAGAGTTATAAAGGACACAGTAAGAGAGTCGAAACAGAGAGAAAATTGTGGGGGAGAAGTTGGTTTCGGGGGTTGAAAGAGTATCTTATTGTTTGAAGGTCCCCAGGCAATAACCGCTCGTCCTTCTGATAAGGATAGAGTAAGAGTGGTGATGTTAGGGTTAAAAATAGTAAGACTTTTATAACTGAGCTGTATTTGAAGTCGAAGCTCTTTCAAATGATACTTAAGAATCCAGTCCGTACCGCAAAGAAAACACAACATTTCACCATTACAAAGATCGACTGGTAAACGCTGTTTAAGGAAATAATCGATATTTATAGGGAGAATCATATAAATCATATGAATACAAAATTAAGAGATACTGGTTGTTAAAACAGATGATTTTATTTTGAGTGTTGCTTTCATCTTAAGTTTTATCGCGGCAAAACTTGTTATTGCTTGATAATTTCCATAAATGACGTAATATTCCTGATAAATGTTATAGAATTTGGTACACACAAGTATCATATAATGCATTTTACCATCGAAAATGACCCTAAAATGGACTTGTTGGTTTTTCGACCAGAGAGCTAATGGTATGGCTCTAACCTAACCGTTTCGCTTTTCAAAACATGGGTTCAATTACACCAGAGGTCGGTTGGTCTGAATTTTAAGTGGGTTTACGTTTCACTCAGTTGACAAATGCATCAGTAACTGGACATTTATTTAAATATGTAATTAACTTGATTTTACGTCACTCGTCTGCTGTGATAAATGACTCCACTCATCAGCGTGTTATATAACATGTTGGTCGCAAACCACGTGTTTAATTCAACGGAATACCACTGAAGTTCACAAATTCGTGTGTGTATGTAAATTGTGTATTTGTGTAGCTTAGTGTAATATTGTAAAACACTAAGTTACGTCCTATTTAAATGACGCAAGATGGATCCAATGGAGATTTATTGTGAATTCCATAATGAAATTTTGTGTTTCTTTGGCAAATACATTGATGAACATTGGTTTAAGAAATCAAGGGAATTTTTGGCCCAGGAAAATTAAATTTTAAATTAAAACTTGTTACGAAATTTGACAATAAAATAACCTGTTGAAACATGCCTTAATCTCGGCTAAATACTGTAATATTTAATAATTCAGTCCGTACCGCATAGAAAACGAACACTTCGCCATTACAAACGTCAGGTGGTTAACGCTGTTTAAATTAATAATCGGTATTTATTCTGATAAACATACGAAACCCATAAATACACTTTGTGGGCTAAATGTAACTAATTAGTTTTATAGGAGCTAGTGGTGCACATACTTACCACTGGTATTTTTAAGGGTTAAGAATCATAGAAATTCTTCAATGACGCCTAGTGCAAGGCCTAAAATACTGCATAAAAGAGAGTTTCCTTCGTCCTTTGTATTATGTGCTTTGCAACAGTTTGTGGGATCTTTCAGATGTCATTGTCCCAGTGGCTGTGAACGCTCGTAGCTGCATTCCACGCTGTGATGATGTTAGATAACATCTGGCAGCTGAACACAAACTTCGCTACATCTGTGCTCTCTTCACAAACCATACTTGTTCCCGAACCACAATGCCAAGCCTAGGAACTTTCCGGAAACACGTGTTCATTGTCATGACATCACAGTAACTGAAGTTAACGTTATCAGCTACGTTCGGATTGTTACAAGTTTTCGTTGTTGTAATTGTCGAGTTTTTGCACCTGTATATGAACATTTGTTATCAGTTGTATTGTTTGGTGTGTTGAACCGAACAGAAATCACTTTGAATTAGATGCTCGTCGCCTGTAATTAAGTAGAGTGCACAAACTTTGCACTTTGATAAGCGTACGTTTCTTCATTTCTTTTGTCAAAGTTGGTAGTATGTAGTGAACTTTGACAACTATTACCTATTCCAATGAGACTTGCCGAAAGTCGTTTTGTCTTACCTTTCGTGTTCATTTTCTAAACAGATGTAACCATTTCCTGTCTTTGTTGAAGTGATTAAATGTGTAGGTGAGGACTAGTTGCATCTGGCTCAAGATTGGGTCCGGTTCCATTTTCATTTGAACACGGCAATAAAACTGACCAGAACAATAAAATTAGACGTCAGACGTCTGAAATTAGGGGTCTCGGGTTCGATTCCCGGCGGTGCCCGAATTTATAACTTGTGTTGGGCAAGGCCGTGGTCTAGGCAACACGGAGTTTTCCTCCTTGGCATCCCAACAATTACTCCATTCACACACAGAAGAAGGCAATGGCAAACCACTTCTGGATCATCTGCCAAGAACGTATATGAACAGGTCCCAGTCCGAGAAAAGGATGGAAGGATCCTGTTCATATGGACCTGTCGTCAGACAGAACACTAAATAAAATAAATAAATTTTATATTAGAAGAACCTGTGATATTTATCGAGTTGATTAACCCTTTGAAGTCTTAGCACGTCTAAGTAATATTATAAGGACTCAGTCCGTACCGCAAAGAAAACACTGAACGTCACCATTAAAAATATCAGCTGAGTAACGCTGTTTAAGTAAATTATCGTTGTTAACACTGATAACTATACGAAATCTATTAATATTTATCGTTTGTCGGAGAAGGTGGTACATATAATTACCACTGGTTTGAACAGCAGTCCGTATTTTCGAGTGTCTGGTTTTGCCTTGTACCTTAAGAGGTCTGAGACACTGAATCCCTGCTAGTTTAACATCGGACTCCGTTCCTGAAAACAGAATCCGGGGGGGATAAGTGTTCGGTTCTGTTCCGGGCGGATATGAGGCGAATGCATTCTACCCTGACAGTGTCCATTGTACGTCTGTTATCGGCAGGGAAACATGAGACTAATGTTTTGTTTGCTGTCAGACATTTTATCAGTCTGTAAAGCTGATTTACATTTCATGGAACCAACCATTATTATGACGTACTTGGTTTTTACTGTACTGAAAATCTTTCGAATTGAATGTCCCTTATAATTTTTTTTTAAAAAAATTAGATACAAAAATAATTTTGACGGTCATTATATCTAGAGACAGTATAGCATATTCTGTCAGTTCCATTGACATTTATCATGTTTTTGTTAGTATTACGGTGAAGAGTTGTTTAAGTGAAATGAAAATAATTAATTGTAAGAAAATAACAGATACTTTTATATAATTTTATTTAATCCGCTGAATTTTTTATTTCAGTCCAAATCTGGTAATGTCCAATCTCTTTAACGTACATGTCAGTTGACATGTGAGTCAGCTTGAAGATCGCATTTTACGTGACAATTTTAACATGCAGATTTCAGCGTGATGGAACTAACAAACACAAAATAATAATTCTTATATGTTTATTACACGACACTACGACATTTTGGACACTAACAGCACAAGCAGCGAGTGTCCAGTTACAAGTGTCGTTGATGCAACGATAAATCTGATGGTTGTTAATGTTTAATGTTTCTCAGGAGACGAATACCCACGCCTTCAGTCGCTCGCTTGTTTTTTTCCGACTCGACCCTCGTCTTATCTTGCCGTATGACCACAGTAAATTAACACGACTGTAACAGATCAGTTCACTAAGTAAATGTTCAGGAAATGGTAGAGGCTGAGTTATGACATGACAATAAATAATAAACTATTTTAAAGTCCGGGGTGGGGGGACACAAAATATTTAATAAAATTTAATAAACACGACAAAATGTAACAAAATCAAGTATGAGGTTAGAGAAGACTGAAGTTGATTAAATACTCTTGGGGTAGAAGCCGCGTCAGGTTTAGCCCCGAAAGAGAGTATTTAATCAACTTCAGTAGCCGCGAAATCTTCCCTTCATACACAAAAGTGAAATTAATTTTAAAAATTTACATGACAAAATCTTGCACGTCCAGTATAATGAATCCTCCATGTCTCCTATTAATAGCACACAAGGATTCAGTTTCAGGCTCCAGCTGATTTACCCTCACGTAAGCAATTGATCGGTATCAGTTCTGTAGCAGACATACTGAACATGATTTTAACACTGAAAATCCCTGAAGATGGCAGTCACCTGGGATATTGCCCCGTTTAGTCTTGTAGAAGTTTGCCGACGTTCCAGTGGTGCATACTGCTTCCAGCATCAGGGCGACCATACTAAGCACCTCTTGAAGATGAATATATAAACTGCAGTGTTTGTCGAAACGTCCCCGAAAGTCAACTTCAGCCCAGAAGACCGATATCGACACATTTTCACGCCCTCGAGAACTTTAAAACTGGTCTGAGCATTTTAGTGGGACTGTTCACGTGGTTTTGTTCCTGCAGGTGTGAACGGGGACCAGTGCAAGCAGCCATGGAAACATGGCGGTCGACTCCACGCGTTCTACCTTTCGAACCTAAGCGCGGGTTGTATAGCTCACAGGCGCTTACGACACGTCCAGTGGGCAGAAGACGATTTCTTGCGAAGATATTCCAGGTAAAGTCGGTGTCAGATTCCGAATCTCATTGCTTCCACCGATCTAATATGGATCTCTGGAATTCTGTAACATCGCCCGCCCGTGTCTTGAAGCACTTAATTTTTAATAAAGAGCATCTTGGCGTTATTTTTGACTTTGTCCATGGTTATAAGTTGTTGTTTTTTAAACATATTTCGGAAACTGAATCTCGCTCTGTCTTTAGATAGATATAAAGTCGATGAAAAACTATAAATTACAATGATTTGTACGTGCAGTGTAGAAATTATTACTAATAATTACAGTTTAAATTTATTATTAAGTCTGCCAACTTACAGATTTTGTAACATGACATTTTAAAGTTATGTTTAACGTATATGTCTACGTTTGTAACAGATCAGCTTAATTAAGTACAGTTAAGCATGGTTATAATGGAACCTGAATTATACGGAAAACCTATTATAGGAAAACTTTCCGGTCTCTTGGGATTCCTTTATAGACAGGTTTTACTCCTGTATAGGTCAGCTTATAAGTGTTTCTCGGTTCTAATCTTAACAAAACTTCGCCTCAAGCCTGTTTGTGGCTTGTAGGAATGATTTTCGGAAAAATTTCTGTTCACTCCCGTGCTGATCTAGAACTGGTAATTTAATTTGCTTGGCTCTTAGCAAAATTACTACCCTTAACCCTTTGAAGCCGAAGATCGTCTGAATATTATTTATGAATTCAGTCCGTACCGCGAAGAAAACACTACACCTCACCATTACGAAAATCAGCTGGTTAACCCTTTGAAGCCGAAGCTCGTCTACATAATATTTACGAATCCAGACCGTACCGCGAAGAAAACACTTCACCTCACCATTACGAAAATCAGCTGGTTAACCCTTTGAAGCCGAAGCTCGTCTTCATAATATTTACGAATCCAGACCGTACCGCGAAGAAAACACTACACCTCACCATTACGAAAATCAGCTGGTTAACCCTTTGAAGCCGAAGATCGTCTGAATATTATTTA